CACACGGAAGAAATGCACCTTCGGTTTCTTCCGGTGCAGCAAGAAATATGGTGTGTCACCTACAACAGAGTTATAGGACCTGTTCATCGTGAAGTTGGCCGTCCTCCAGGCTTCAGCCCAAAAGCTCTGAGGCAAACCAGAGTCAAACAATAGAGCGTCAGCTGTTTCAGCCAGTGCCTTGCTCCTGCGCTCCGCCATGCCACTCTCCTGAGGAGAAGCAGCACCCGTCAACCTGTGACGTATTCCCTTCTGGCGGAAGAAACTCTGCAGAGCAGACCCAGAGAACTCTGCACCTCGGTCACTCTTAAAACTCTGCACCTTGGTGGAAAACTGTAGTTCCACCGCCGCAACCCAGTCTTTGATCAGTTGCGCTGCCTCGCTTTGCTGTTTCAGTGAGAAGAACCACCCGTTCTGGGTAAAATCATCTGTCAGCGTAAGCACAAACCTGGCCTCACCCAGACTCGGCCTTGGCATGGGACCACTAAGGTCTGTGTGCACAAGCTCAAAAGGCTTTGTGGTTACCCTCTCCGATCTGGGCTAACTGCACCTTTGTACCTTTGCCCTTCTGCATGCCCTGCAATCTAGGAATTTATCACATGGTTTCATCTTGCAACCTACAGTGCATTCAGGCAACTTCTGGATATCTTTCCAACAGCCATGCGACATTCTTCTGTGCCACAAATGAGCACATGAATCATGAGTGGGAACGTTAACACACTTAGCCTGTGCTGTCTCAGCGTCCCTCTTACCCTCCAGAGGTGTCTCCAGAACAAAGGTTGTTCTGACATGCAACACTGACCAGTTGTCTCCCACCCCTGGAAATAGAACACACATCATTTTCAAAGCAAACCTTATACGCCTCCTGTAAAAGAGAAGATACAGATAAAAGACAACATTTCATTCCAGGAACAACGTAGACCTCCAGCTCCGCCTGTAAAAAAGAAACAAACAAATTGCCAACAGTGGTTAAATGTCTCTGTGAGCCATCAGCAAAAACGACGGTTTTTCCAGTTGAAACAGCCCTGCAGTTCCACATTTCACCACCAGGTGGCACTGGCATCAAATGATGGCTGGCTCCTGAGTCGATGACCCAACGTAGCATGCTGCCCTCACTGGAGTTGTCCCGTAGCGTTGCCATGGAGGCAGCTGCAAGCTGATAAGAACCGTCACTCCCTGTGTCACGTCCTCCCTTTGCATTCCCATGCTGACCTCCTCTCCTGGACTGGCTGCCATGGAAACCTGGCTGACTGCCTTGGAGACATCCTGCCCAGCCTCTCTGGCTCTCCGCAGATGGTCAACAGACCCACAGATAAAACAGCGACAAGTGGAAAAAGCCTGAACTGTGCCCTCTGCTGGCCTGGCCCCCCCTCTGCACCCGGCAGGGCTCTCTGTGCCAGCACGGCCTTCTCTGAGTCGGCGTTCCTGTTCGTCACACAAGCTACCAGTCACATACTGAAGCGTAAGATCGGCTGGACTCATTGATTCCAAAGTTAGACACAAATTGTCATAACTTTTGTCCAAAGAGCTGAGCAAAATATAAACTTTCAGTTCCTCAGAAAAGTTGACTTGCAACAGTCTCAGCTGGTTGAAAACAGAAAGCATCTCAGTTACATGCTGTCTGATGCTATCACCAGGACGCAGCTTCATCTCAAACAAGCGTCTGGTAGTGTGGATTTTTGCCCCAGCTGTGGTCCTGTGGTGCACTCTCTCTAGTGCCTGGTAGGCCTCATGAGCAGTCTCAAGCCCCTCTACCAAAGGAAGCTATGAGCCCTCCAAACTGAGCACTATAGCTCCCAGGGCTTTCTGATTCCTCCTCTGCGAAGCATGGGCAGCTGAAGCACCGGCTGCAGCTTGCTGTGGAGGCCCTTGGACCGCCTCCCACAGACCCTTGGCTACCAGCCAGGCCTTCAGATTCCTGGACCACTCCTCCCAATTTCTGCCATTTTTTCAAAAGGGACGGAATATGACCCCTGGCTGTCTGCCATCTTCTCCCCCGGGGCTCAGCGTACTCACGTAGCAGCAGCTCCCTGGCACCCGGTCCTGAAGATGAGATCCTCCCCAGCGAGCTTCTCTGCTTCAAAACATTAGGCAAAAGCTCCAACTGGCTCCAGCTCAGCTGCCTTCCCATAACCTATGAAGATAAGATGGCGTCCAGTACGCTTCTTGCTGCATCACTATCCATGCCGACAGAAAACATGAGCCCCCTCGGCTCTCTTACTTAGCAGAGTCCTTGCAGTGGCAGGAAAACTGTTGCCTTGTGTGGGTAATAAATCAGACTGAATGCAAGCTTTCTTTCTGATCTCCAACAGTCTTTAATGAGTAGAAAAACATCATAAATCAGCCCGGCGAAATGGCTGGCATCTTCTCGCCTCTCAGTCAAAAAGGAAAGAGCTTCACACAAAGAAAGTTTCCCGTATGTGAACATAACCACGCCTCAGAATGTGAGATGTCACTCAGAACTGTTTAACCCTGTAAGTTCTGATTCTCCTTACAAGGGTATCAATAAATCATCATCATCATTTTTTTGTATTTTTTATATTTTAATATTTCTATTAAGATTCCTTTATTTTGAATTTAGGAGGACACACATAGGAAGAGGAGAGTTGGAGGTGCGAGGGACCTGAAAGGAACGCAGGGAAGGAAGGATCTCTCAGGGTGGGATATGGGGAGAAGAGGGGGTAACGCAGGGGAGAAGTGGGGGAGCCTGCCTTTCTATGGGTTGACGAATGATATGTTATATATGATACAAATGTCATAAACAGTATTTTTAGTTTATACCCCCCCTTTCTCTTTTCTATACAATTGTATTTTGTAAGGGATTGTTTAATATTTTTTGTTTTATTTCTCTTTTTTGGTTTCCCCTCAGTATGAATTCTTTGATGGCGAGTGAGATGGGAGCTATGAGTGAAGCTCTTTCCACCTTCCATGCACTGATAGGGTTTCTCCCCTGTATGAGTTCTTTGATGCAAAGTGAGGTTTCTCCCATCCCAGAAGTTCTTCCCGCATTCGAAGCACTGATAGGGTTTCTCCCCAGTATGAATTCTTTGATGGGAAGTGAGACTATCCTTCCAATTGAAGCTCTTTCCACATTCCAAGCACTGATAAGGTTTCTCCCCAGTATGAATTCTGTGATGGGAAGTGAGACTATCCTTCCGATTGAAGCTCTTTCCACATTCCAAGCACTGATAGGGTTTCTCCCCTGTATGACTTCTTCGATGGCAAGTGAGATTGGCCCTGTAACTGAAGCTTTTCCCACATTCCAAGCACTGATAGGGTTTTTCTCCTGTATGAGTTCTTTGATGGGAAGTGAGCTTGTTCCCCTCCCTGAAGCTCTTCCCACATTCAAAGCACTGATAGGGTTTCTCCCCGGTATGATTTCTTTGATGGCAAGTGAGATGTGCGCTTTGATTAAAGCTCTTTCCACATTCCAAGCACTGATAGGGTTTTTCTCCTGTATGAATTCTGCGATGGGAAGTGAGACTGGAGCTATCAGTGAAGCTCTTCCCGCATTCCAAGCACTGATAGGGTTTTTCTCCTGTATGAGTTCTTTGATGCAAAGTGAGCTTGGCCCCCTCCCTGAAGCTCTTCCCGCATTCGAAGCACTGATAGGGTTTTTCTCCTGTATGCGTTCTTTGATGGGAAGTGAGATTTTGCCTGAGACTGAAGCTCTTTCCACATTCCAGACAATGATAGGGTTTCTCCCCTGTATGAATTCTGCGATGGGAAGTGAGATGGTGCCTGACACGAAAGCTCTTTCCACATTCCAAGCACTGATAGGGTTTCTCCCCTGTATGAATTCTTTGATGCACAGTGAAATTATTCTTTCGATTGAAGCTCTTTCCACACTCCAAGCACTGATACGATTTCTCCCTACTCTGTGTTATTTCGTGTGAAGTGAGGCTATTCCTTCGAATGAAGCTCTTTCTTTGACGGGAGGTGTCATGGGAGCTCTGACGGATGTTCTCTCCACACTCTGAATACTTATATGACTTCTCCGCTATGTGGATTCTGTGTGCTCCCCCTTGTTCTTCCCTTCCAGTTCATCTCCATCTGCAATGAAGAGAGAAGCGAATTAGAGCCTCAGGAAGAAATTAGAGCCTCCAGATCATTGAACCAAGTCAATTAATGCTTGTGATAGAGGAAGAACCAAAAATAGTTAGATGTGGGGCCTCTCTATAGTTTCACTGCCTTTGTTGGCCGGTATTTACTGACATATTGCTTGGCTTTTATCTAGAATGGATTTTGTTCTTGCTCAATCCTGGAATCCACTCCATCTCCAAGGTCAGTCATGTCTTTGGTCAATCAAATGCAAACAGAAGCATAAACAACACGCCTGACAGAATTTACATCAACTTCCCTTTTTTTTTGCAAGTAAATTTTTATTCAGAATTTGTAAAAGAAAAAAGAAAAAAGGACAAACAAATACAAAAATAAACATTTTAACATAAATTATTCATCCTATTTTCATGCTATACAAAAAGTAAGCGTACAATCATACAAAAAAAAATATAAACATTAGGCTCTACTTAGCCTTTGACTTCCCTTCACCCTTTTGGTAAGTATCAAATAAATCCCGGGTTGCGTAATTAGTTTATTAAAGTTTATAATTATTAGCTGATAAAGTTTTTCTAATACCGCCAGTTCCTCCTATATATCCGTTCCAATATATTTCTAAAATTTACTCCAATTTTTTTGAAATTTCTGGTCGTCTTGGTCTCGTATTCTGCCTGTTAATCTATCTAGCTTGGCATAGTTAATCATTTTGACCTGCCAGTCACTTACGTTAGGTATAGTTTCTGTTTTCCAGTTTTGTGCCAGCATAATTCTTGCGGCTGTGGTGGCATAGAGAAATATTTTTTATCTTCATTTTTTATTTCCTTACCCATAATCCCAGCAAAAAGGCCTCAGGTCTTTTGGGAAAAGTATATTTAAAAACTTTTTTAAGTTCATTATAAATTGCTTCCCAAAAAACCTTCACCTTGTTGCATTGCCACCACATATGGTAGAGGTCTCCCTCCACTTCACCACATTTCCAGCATGTCTTATTTTCTGATCTATAGATTTTAGCCAATTTTGCCGGCGTAAGATACCATCTATAGAGCATTTTCCAAAACATTTTCTCTGGCTGGTATTTACTGACATATTGCTTGGCTTTTATCTGGAATGGATTTTGTTCTGGCTCAACCCTGGAATCCACTCCATCTCCAAGGTCAGTCATGTCTTTGGTCAATCAAATGCAAACAGAAGCAAAAACAACAAGCCTGACAGAATTTACATCAACTTCCCTAAAAACTCTGAAGCCGGCATTTAAGAAGGCCTGGGTGGTTCAGAGAAGCCTGGTCACTGTTTTAAAAGGCATGACTAGACGCAGAACATTCACAGAGGAAACAGTTGATATCCCTCCATTCTGGGTTCACTGTCTGGATGTTAGAATGCCAGACGCTGTTGGTCTCCAGCCAAAGAGTTGAAGTTCATCACATACAGGTATGTATGGAACATCTACACCTTGTCTGTTAAACAAACAGCAACACCTTCACCTGAACACTCCCCATCAGCTGTTGCCTCAATCTAGTCGGTCTAAATTTAAATTTATACGTAAATCACTTTCTTCACTTTGAACCCCCCACCCATGTCCATGAGGAGACCAACTCTGTATTTTTTCATTAGCAACAGAAGAGGAAAAGTGACTATAACTCAGTTCAAACCAATTCATGAGCCCAGAACTCATACACCGACCACTAATGATGAACCATGTTATAGATATTCCTGCAAATTTATTCTGCTATTTTTGATATGCAAATGGCATGCGAAGACTTAGTCTTCATATTTGTATCATTTATTAGTCCTATGATCCTTGTTTTTAAAAGCAAATAAGAAGTTATTCCAAAAAGAAAAAGACAACACACAGAGGCCCCATCTCCATTCAAACTGCAAAGCAGGATCAGTGAGTTGTCTGGCATTGGCAGGGCATTCAGATCACAGAACTGGTTTTAGACATTTAGATAGACCTGCCGATTCATCGCGTCGGGCAGGGAGCTGTGATCTATTCCTGGCTCAAATTGCCTGCAGATGACAAAGGCGCAGGAAGGCAGGCAGGTGGGGGAGCCCGAAAAGGTGCTCCCCTTCTCCATCTCCATCCACCTGCCTGCCCCCCCCACCCCAATTCCTCTCTGGCTCCATCCCTCCATGTCCCCATCTCCCCTCCCCTGGGACTCACCAGATCTCTCGGAGGTCCCTGGGAGGGAATGCTCAGAGGCTGAGAGGAGTGATGCAGGAGACAACCTGACCAGGTCATCCGTCCATCTTCCCCCCTTCCATTCTCATTAGCTTTGCAGAATCTGTTCCGTTTATCCTTCCTGAGGAGTCAAGGAGCCAAAACGAGCTGCAGGGTCCTGGGAGAGAGGAAGAAGGAAAGGGAGCCTCAGAGGCCCTGCAGGGATTCTTCTGCCCCTGGAGAAGCACAAATGGGGCGGCCCCTTCCCAACAGAAGCCCCATTTCTATACCTCTCCCGTGGTTCGAAAAAATAAGGTAGGCTACTTGCATGACAATTAAAGAAAAAATAAGAAGAGAGAGTAATAGAGAAATGAAAAATAATTGAAGATCCTAAAGAAATATGCAAAGAAAAATTAAATTACTATAGGAAGTTTTACCGTGCAAAAGAAGAAGACCAAGAGGAAATGGAATGATTCATAGCACAAAATAGACTCCCGACAATAGCAGATTGGAAAATAGAACAACTGAATGTACCAACAGTGATGATGGAGGTGCAGCAATCTCAAAAGCAAAGATAGGAAAGTCCCCAGGTACGGATGGATTATCGGCGGCATTTTATAAGAAGTTAGAAGATATATTATCAGAACCAATGAAACAGTACTGAACGGAATTTTAAAGGAAGGAAGAATACCAAAATCATGGGAAGAAGCACTTATCACACTGAGACCCAAACAAGGAGCAGATCCAACACTAATCAAAAATTATAGACCTATATCATTGTTCAATAATGATTATAAAATATTTGCTAACATCCTAGCTAACAGGTTAAAATAAAGTATTGAATGAAATAATATACAGAGATCAGGCTGGCTTCTTACCAGGCAGATACATGAACAATAAAATGAGAAACATAATTGATATTTTAGAATATTTAGAAGCAAGATCAGATAAAAAAGCCATTTTGATGCTGATAGACATGGAGAAGGTCTTCGACAACATCTCTTGGAGCTTCATTGTCAGGGAACTGCCATCAGTGCTGGAGGGAGAGAGCAAAAGCCAGAGGGATTCCAGAGAGCGTCCAGGGATCGGGCGAAGCAGCCCATCTTCTGGGGAAGAGAATAAGCGTAGCACCAGTGGAGAAGAGGGGCAGATGGGGGAAGCGGCGAGGCGGTCCCATGACTCCTTGCCTGGGACCAGCGGGGAGAGTAGGGGTCCTCCGCTGCCCACGCCCTCCTTGCGCAGAAGGCTTCCACGCAGAGAAAGTAGGAGGAGACTAGGCGTCAAAGAGCTTCTTTGCTGGAAGAAGTTTAAGAAACGCCCACTGACGGATTCTGCCAGCGATTGAGTCAGCCACGGGTGAGTGGCTGTCCGGGCAGAAAAGGTTCACTTAGGCAACCCAGCCAGGTGTTTGCACAGGCTTACGCACGAGCAACCCCTAGAACCATTACATTCATGAAAAAAATACAGAAAAAGCAGGACTTGGAGAAAATATTATTAGGGGTGTTGAGGCAATATATTGAAATCAGAGAGCCAAATTGATACTAAATAGTGAAATAAGAGAAAAATATAAAGTAAATAAGGGGAACAGGCGAGGCTGCCCCCTTTCGCCTCCACTTTTTATTACGGTACTAGAATTCTTAGCAATGACAACAAGGAGTGACCAGAGCATAAAAGGTCTAACAAGGGGGAAGAAGTCGCACAAGATGAAGGCCTTTGCAGACAATGTAATTCTAACTTCTGAAAATCTGGAGGAAAGCATACCAGAAATAATAGGGAAAATCCTTGAATTTGGAAGTGGCAGGATTTAAATTAAATAAAAATAAGACTAGTATGCTAGCAAAAAAATATGTCAACACAGGAAAAAGAAGAACTAAAGAAAATATCAGGATTGGAAACAGTAAATAAAACTAAGTATTTGGGAATCTGGCTAACAAATTAAAACACCAATCTATTTAAAGACAATTATATTAAAAAATGGAAAGAAATCAGTTTTGAATCATATAATGAGAAAATTGATATATAGACTATAGGAAAAACATAAAGTGGTCTTAGAAACTAAAACCCCCTGGTGGATTTCACCTTAGGAAGCAAAAACTGGGGGAAAGAAAAATATGGAATTGAATTGGGCCACTTTCACTGCCTTGTTGTGACGAAGGGGCTTGAATAACTCAGAGACGCTATGAGCTAAGCTGTGCAGGGCCACCCAAGATGGACAGGTCATAGTGGAGAGTTTAGACTTAACGTGATCCACCTGGAGGAAGAACCGGCAAGCCACTCCAGTAGCCCTGCCAAGAAAACTCCATGGACAAAGGCAACAGGCATATAAAAGTTATGACGCTGAAAGATGAGCCCCTCAGGTCAGAAGGCGTCCAACATGCTACTGAGGAAGAGCGGAGGACAAGGACAAGTAGATTCAGAGCTGATGAAACGGCTGGGCCAAAGCTGAAAGTTAAGTTGGATGTGGTGACAATGAGATGGCAAGAATAAATATTGACATCCTGGGCATCAGTGAACTAAAATGGACAGGGATGGGCGAATTCAGTTCAGATGACCATCATAACTACTACTGTGGGGAAGAATCCCATAAAAGAAATGGAGTGGCCCTCGTAGTCAAGAAAAGAGTGGCAAAAGCTGTACTGGGATGAAATCTGAAAAATGATAGAATGATCGTGATACGAATCCAAGGCAGACCTACAAGAAATAGAATACAGATTTCCAAAGAATAGCAAGGAGAGACAAGAGGGCCTTCTTAAACGAGCAATGCAAAGAAATAGAGGAAAACAATAGAATGGGGGAAAACAGAGATCTCATCAATAAAATTGGAGATATGAAAGGAACATTTCGTACAAAGATTTCCATAATAAAGGACAAAAGTGGTAAAGACCTAACTGAAGCAGAAGACATCAAGAAGAGGTGGCAAGAATACACAGAGGAATTATACCAGAAAGATATGGATGTCTCGCAAACCCCAGGTAGTGTGGTTGCTGACCTTGAGCCAGACATCCTGGAGAGTGAAGTCAAATGGGCCTTAGAAAGCACTGCTAATAACAAGGCCAGTGGAAGTGATGGTATTCCAGCTGAACTATTTAAATTTTTAAAAGATGCTGCTGTTATGTTAAGGTGCTACACTCAATATGCCAGCAAGTTTGGAAAACTCAGCAGTGGCCAGAGGATTGGAGAAGATCAGTCTACATCCCAATCCCAAAGAAGGGCAGTGCCAAAGAATGCTCCAACTACCGCACAATTGCACTCATTTCACACGCTAGCAAGGTTATGCGTAAAATTCTACAAGGAAGGCTCAAGCAGTATATGGACCGAGAACTCCCAGAAGTGCGAGCTGGATTTAGAAGAGGCAGAGGAACCAGAAACCAAATTGCAAAAATGCGCTGGATTATGGAGAAAGCTAGAGAGTTCCAGAAAGACATCTACTTCTGCGTCATTGACTTCGCAAAAGCCTTTGACTGTGTTGACCACAGCAAACTATGGCAAGTTCTTAAAGAGATGGGAGTGCCTGATCATCTCATCTGTCTCCTGAGACATCTCTATGTGGGACAAGAAGCTACAGTTAGAACTGGATATGGAACAATTGATTGGTTCAAAATTGGGAAAGGAGTACGACAAGGCTGTATTTTGTCTCCCTGCTTATTTAACTTATACGCTTTTGAATTCTGGTGCTGGAGGAGACTCTTGGGAGTCCCATGGACTGCAGGAAGATCAAACCTCTCCATTCTGAAGGAAATCAGCCCTGAGTGGTCACTGGAAGGACAGATCCTGAAGCTGAGGCTCCAAGACTTTGGCCACTTCATGAGAAGAGAAGACTCCCTGGAAAAGACCCTGATGTTGGGAAAGATGGAGGGCACAAGGAGAAGGGGACGACAGAGGACGAGATGGTGGGACAGTGTTCTTGAAGCTACAAACATGAGTCTGACCAAACTGCGGGAGGAAATAAAACACCACCTAACAGGGTGGATCCAGTATCACCAAATAAATGAGGTCTTCAAAGCTGACAAGAAAAAGGGTTTTGCAATTTCAGTATTGGATAAAGAATTATTACAAAACAAAATAAACATAATTTCTAAAATGTATGGAATCTTAGTGGAGTGGAAGGATATGGATGAACAGGTAAAGGCGGTAATGATCAAATTGGCTATGGATTTAGGGAAACCTATTCAATTAACATCATGGGAAAAATTATGGAAGGAGAGTTGGAATTTTACGGCTTGTGAGGCAATAAAAGAAAATTTGATAAAGATGTTTTATAGATGGTATTTAACACCAACCAAGATATGTAAAATGTATAAAAGAAAATCAAAATTACGTTGGAGGTGTAAGCAAGTAGAGGGGACACTTCTGCATATGGGGTGGCTATGTGATAAAATCAAGGGCTTCTGGGATACGGTGTATGAAGAACTAAAGAAAACATTTGAACAAAATTTTACCCCCCAAAACAGAAGCCTTTTTATTGGGAATATTGGATGTAGATATACCAAAACAAACAAAAAAAGAAATATTTCTTTACGCCACAGTGGCAGCGAGAACATTAATTGCCAAAGATTGGGAAAAAAAGAAATAATTCTGACCAAAAAAAGCTTTCTTTGGAGGAGGGTCCCTGGCACTCGGGGAGAGACCACAAATTTTGTAACTACTCCGGGTCAACGCTATCTCTCCCCTTAATTCCTCATGAAGTTTTCTAATACCAGTTATACCATATGCCTTATACCATTTTCTAAAATTCTCTGATTATCCCTGCTGTGTTTTATTTAATGGAAATTGAGACTGGTTTCCTAGGTGAAGCTTTTTCCACATTCTAAACAGTCCCCTGCAAGAAACATTTCATGGAAAATTAGATTCACCACCTGAATGAAGCTCTTTCTACATTCCAAGCACTGATCTGGTTTCTGACCTGCATGAAGCTTTTTCCAAACACTCTTCTGTATGAAGTATCTCATGGGAATTGTGGGTGGAGCTGCGAAGGAAGCTTTCCCAACATTTCAAGCACTAATTTCTTCCCCCCGTTAGTTCTTTCATGTGAAGTGAGGCTCTCCTTCTCAACGAAGAGCTTTCCTTGATGGGAAGTGGACTGGGAGCTCTGACTAAAGTTCTCTCCACACTCTGAATATTTATATGGTTTCTCTATTGTGAGGATTTTCTTATTGTCTCCATTCTTCTTCCTTTCCAATTCACCACCTACCACCTACAACCCATGGCAGTATTATTAATTAATTATTATAATAGCCTCAGGAATAGATAAGAGTCTGAAATGACTGAAGAATGCAAATGACTGCTTGTGAAAGAGGAAGAAGGGAAGGGAGTTACTGCCTTTTTTGGCTGGTATTAGCTAACTTATTTATGGGACCCAGAGATTCAAAAAGCCTGGCTCTTTCCAGGGATGGATTTAATTTGGCTCAGTCATGGAATCCGCTCCATCTCCAAGCTCAGTCATTTCTTTGCTCAACCAAAAACAGAGAAATGCAGAAAGGGAAACAGAAAATTAGACAGGATGTACCTCCACATCCCTGAGATCTCTGAAGCCTACATTGAAGGAGGCCTGGGCGGCTCAGAGCAGCCTCATCCTGGTTGGAAAAGGCAGGACTGGTGGAAGAATATTCCCAGACAGAACAGGAGATGCATCTCCTATGGAGAGTTGTGGGTGTGTTAACATCTCAGATGCTGAAGGTGGCGCTATGGGGCTCCCTCAAAATAGAGGAGGTTTGTCCTTCAGAGATCTGTATGGAATTTCAAAACTGATCTTATGATCCAGCAGGGAGCCTTACCAGAGAGGCCACGATCCCAGGATTCTCCTCCTTGACTTCCTTCTGCAGAGCTCTCTGGTCAGGATCCAGCAAAGCCCAGTCCTCCTCTGTGAAAGGAACAGCTACGTCTTCAAAGCACACTGGACCCTAAGAGAAACAGGGAGAAGAAAGATGATCTTCTAAACATTGCTCTGTTCTTTTCTGAAACCATTTTGTTGTTTATTTAAATGATGAGTACAGTGGTACCTTGGGTTACAGATGCTTCAGGTTACAGACTCCACTAACCCAGACATAGTACCTCAGGTTAAGAACAGTTTCAGGTTAAAAATGGACCTCCAGAATAAATTAAGTTCTTAACCCGAGGTACCACTGTATTAATCTTTGTGTAAATGGGGGAATTCCACAAAATAAAATTTTATTATCTATGCGGCACTCATCTTCAGGTAAATCTTTGCAAGCATTCCCATTTTCCAGATGGAAGGAGCTCCTCCCTCTTCATCTGGTGGGGTGGACCCTCCCCCTGCCCTCAAGCCAACTTCAAGGGGCACCAGGAGGGGGAGGGGAGGGGATGGTTGGCTGGTTGGCATCCGTCTGTCTTAGGAGACCATGGAAGAGTGTGTCTTTGGGAGTGAGATCTGGGGGAGAGACATGTGTTGTTGCATCTGGGACACAGGAAGTGGTCTGGAGATGCAGACGGGCTTTTCTCCTCCCTGTGCTCCCCCCACGTGGGAATGTTCCCCTTGTTACCGGAAAAATCCGAGGGCTCTCTTGGACAAAAACAAAGACACCAACCAGGATAACTTGGAGCAAAACAGCAGCCTGTAGGCTTGGCCTTTATTGAACTGATGCATCAGGGTGTTCCCCTCACTTGCAGGAGAGAGGAAAGACCCAGAACAATGGCCTGCAAGACCTTATAAAAACTTTTGAAATTCCCCTCCTCCAGGTCAAGCCCACCCCCAGAAACATCATGCATACATTACAGAAGGGGTTGACATCATGCATACATTACAGAAAGGAGGGGTTGAGGGAGGAGTTGTGGTGGTAACCTGAGTGTCCAGTCACCTAGCTGGTTCCTCCTTTCCCCCTCCCCATGAGTACTTTCCAGGTGACAAAGGGGAGTTTGCAGTTTCCTGCCCCCAGAGGGAAGATCTGATCATTGTCCTTTGTTTCAGTCTGTGGTGAATCCACTACCATATGCAAGTTCTTTGTCATTTTGATTGTCTTCTGTCTGGGATTATCAAGGCCGACATAGCAACTGGGCAGGGCTCCTGCAGATGTGCTGAGATGTGCTGAGATGGTGGAGGGATTATGGCTGACCAGGAATAAGTCACCCCCCTTTGTTAGTTCTTGTCATATGGAGTAAAAAATGGAACAGTGCAAATCCGATGTATGGTTGATTTTCTATGAATTTATAACAGAAATGTGGCGTATGTAGTGTGTGAGTGTGTGTGTGTGTGAAGTTTGTACAAGCAGAATGATTGGGGTGGGGGGTTCCTGCTACAGTTCCCCCCTTCGGAGATAAGATTGCAAAGGTGGCTACTTTGCAATCCTTTTCTCCGCACAATTTAAGGTGGTAAATATTAACCTGCTATTCTCCGTGTGTCCATGTGAACGTGAAAGGGACTTGGATGTCATGCTTCTTAAGGATATTTGCATAGAAATATAATGGTGTAACAGTGCACATAGTTAGACATAGGATATCATGTAAAATTAATATTTTGTTGCTCAGTTACTTGTGGTATTCTAGCACCTTGGAAGAAATCTTTTCTCAATAGTGATCTATGCTTTACATTTAGGCAGGAAGGTCCACTAATGACTGAAAAGTGCAGTTTGCTTCCCCCCCGCCATTTTTGTGTTCTCAGGTGTCAAGCTAGCTCTTCTGTGGTCTCACACCGGCATAGTGCTCCAGCAACACATCCTGTCTGTTGAATCCCCTCAGGGCTTTCATTTAACCATGTTGCCTAGCATTCACCATAGCTGGCACAGGTTTGGACATCTCGTGAGGGAGAGGTCTTCGCCTTGGCCTTTAGCTATGGGATTTTATTATAGGCTGTGGTCATGGGAAGCTGCTCACTTGCACTTAAAGGACCAAAAAGCTAATTGCAGCCTGGATACACTTGCCCAATTCAAACTGAGTCCAATTTGAATTTATCTTGCCCCATGGTTCTCAAGTCCTCAAACCAATCTGTTAAAACAAAACCATTCTTAGAGGGCATTTGTCCAAATAAGTCAATTTAACTCTATAAGGGATCATTCCTGCTAAACCAAAGCATATCCACCTTCATGTATCTTAGAAGCTTCTCCTTGGTAAAGCGAGTTTTAGCACATTTTTTAAAAAAAAAAATGGGTAGGGAAAGTTGGCATAGCGCCAGGTGGAACAACGAAATATGGTTATAAATTTATCTAATTCTAAACATTGGACTACATAATAGCCTGGTCTCGTAAAAGGCATAAAATGTATGAGAATCCTCCACTGGGTTGTAAGGAATAAGACATTAAACATAAAAACAATTACACACACAAATAGCCCCCCCTCCTTTGTGGAAATAACACACTGTCAGACACATTTCAACATTCCTACGTAATAACACATAATACAAAACAAACTAATTAAATATCAGTTGCATATCTTGAGATAATTGTGATCTTCTCAATCCTGGAGCGCAGTCTTTAAGGTTCAAAAATGAGAAAATGTCCTTGCAATTCAACTCCACCCCCCTTTGTCCGGCCCACTCCCCTGGCAGTCTATATCCTTTGAAAGAGATAGCTGTGGGCACTTGAAAACTCTGGTGTCTTGTGATGATGAAGAACTGAGTTGAGGGGTTGTTGCTGCTTTTCATCATTGCACATCTGTAGACGTGATATCCTGTAAGGGGGCAGGGTTTTGGGGACTTAAACACAGTTAGACAAGGAAGGGGCAAAAGGCAAAAAGGATGTCCTCCAGTTTCCATGGGAAGCTGCAAATAATAACAATCTTAGCACATTAAGCATTTTATTCATTTCAATATTATTATCACATTTCCACATAATTACTGTTATTATCTGCTAAGTTTGTTTGCTTTCCTTCACTTAGTTTTTGTTGTTGTTGTTCTTTTCATATTATAAAATAAAAATTACTCCACATGTATAGAAAGAGAACTGTAAAAAAAAATACAAAGGTTAAAAAATACAAAAGAAAGCAAAAAATTAGATTACCAGTCAGATGAAAACAAACTTGACACAAAGACATCAGATTTAGAAAAGAATTATTATTAAATATATTATCAAAACCACGCAGATTACTACTAGACTGAAAAAATGGGAAAACCATGGGGAAAAAACTTTAAATTCACCATGTGCTATCTGATAAAAGAACTTCATGAAACTGACTTTCAACATGTGATGAACATGTCCCCAAAGTAGAACACACACACAAAATTACCTATGAGGAACCAAAAATAAATAAATGCTAAGACACACAATTAATAAGAAACTTGAAGTAACCTGAAGTAATCTGTTTTGGCATTCTAACATCCCAAATGAAAATAAAATAGTGTTTCTTGATGTGACAACATCAGTTGTAACGTTAATACTGGGAAATGAGTTAATACCAAGAAAAAATGAATGGCAATTTAAAGTTGTACAAGTACCTTGTACTAGCCAAAATGACAGAATTAAGAAATGCTCAGGCAAAAAGGTAAACAATACCATTCCACAAACAATTTTGGTTGTGCTTCGATTAATTTCATATATATATAATGGAAGAACTGATAAAACGAACTTAGTAAACGAAAACAAATTATTTGTAACCTAAAAAAATGTCAAAGCCACAAAGAGATAGAAGGAAATCAACTAATATAGCAGGGATTCAGACGTGTTTCACAGAACAGCAAGAAAGTTGCTGTGGGAGGAAAAAGGGACAAACACTTTGTTATCGGGGTTCACATATCCTGTTAAAAGGGAAAAAATTTTCATGTGAGAAGCTTGTCAGGAAATGCTGTTCCTAAAATGCACACAAACAAAGTCTGTGATTTAAATCCCATTGAGGGGGGGAATGCTTTGATATTTACCTGTGAAAAGAATTTTGGCATGTTAAGATTTGGAACCTGGAAAGCTCTTGACTTTTGATGGGCTAGTTTTGCTCATTTATATTCAGCATCACTGTCATTGCACCCTTGAAGAAAAGGAAACCTCCTCTCCCCCTTACAGTTCCCCCTTCCTCTCTCTCTCTTCTTTAGCTAATCTGGCCTCTGTGCATGTGCAGAGTTCATGTCTCAGCAAACCTTTTATACTATTGAAAATGTTGCATCCTTTGGCTAAATTACCATTTGAATAAGGGAAGGGAAGGGTAAGGAGTAGATTTTGAAAACAGGGTTTGATTTTAAACAAAAAAGAGAAAATCAGCAATTTAAGTATTCACCAGAACTAGCAATTTCAGCCCAAGCAAACGAGACTGCTTCCTTTATGTACAGGAAAGGGCTAATATCCCTCTGGCCATTCGCGAACAATCAACCGCTCTCTTATTTATGAGTAAAAATGGCCAGAGTTAGAATTCATAGGATTTTTTAACATTCTCAGTCATTTTAGCCCTTACCATTTGCAGACAAATTATACTGCCCTTTATTTACAGGATGGATGGTCAAGGCGTCTATGTATTGAGTTGACTTTGAAGTCTGATTTTTTAATAGTAGACAAAATGATAAACACTGTAATCACCCAAATGCTTGATGTTACCAGTTGTGCTTCAAAACATCATGGCTTCATCTCGCACCTTTTAAAACTAAAAAGCAAAGCTAGGCTGAATTTCAACTCCATCACGTCACCAGAATTTAAGAAGTACCCTCCAATGCTTGCAGACACATGTCCTTCCACACAGCCACAAATTGGGAGAGTTGAAAGAGACCTTGGGGTCATCTAGTCCAACCCTCCAAAATATAGAGTTCACAGCAAGATTTCACAGCAGGATTTGTACTATCAAAGAGACATACACATTTAAGTACAGATTTACAACTGGGTAAGGAAACATCTATGCTCATATCATGTAGTAAAGAAGAGGAAAATAAAAGTACATAACTTTACACAGAACCCTT